CACAACAGGCCCCCCCAGCCTGCAGCAGCCCGCCCCGCACCTCACCTGCTGGATGTAGCGGTCGGTGGTCTTCCACATGTAGTAGAACTGCACGATGCTGGCCAGGGACTTCCAGGGCAGCTGCGGGGAAAGGAGGGGAGTGAGTCCTCGCACCGGGGGTTGTCCTTCACCCTGTGCCCCCCACCCCCCTCCCATCCCCCCCCCAACTCACAAAGTCCTGCCGGATGTCATTGAAGTCCTTCCCGTACTTCTCCAGCGCCTCCTCGAAGAGCATGGCCTCAGAAGCCGACCACTCCTCCATCTCATCGCGGCACAGCACCGGCCCCCCCTGCGGCACCAGCGTCGACATGGCCTTGGCCAAGTCGTAGCCATTACGCTGCAGCGTGTCCATGGCGTGGAACTGAGAGCAGGGAGGCACACAACAGTGAGGGGGGATCAGGAGGAGCCCCCCCCACCGCAGAATCGGGGTCCCCCGGCCCCCCAAATCTCACCAGCGTTATGTCCCGGGAGGCGGCGGCAGCACTCATGTGCAGGCTGGGCTGTCGGATGGAGCTGCTGCAGTCCAGGGCACGTGCAAACGTCCCGACGGCTCTGGAAGTAAGGGGGGGACACACACACGGGGGCGGAGGGCGTCAGTGGGGGCCCCCAACAGCCCCCCTGCCCCCCCCAGGTCCCAGCTCACCGTGCCACCACCAGGAACTGGTCGATCTGCCGGTCGGTCAGGGGGTTATCGGGGTCCCACACCTTCATCTCCATCTTCTGCTGGTTTCGGTTGTCCGATTCGCCTGGGGGTGTGCGTGGCAGGGCGGGGGGGGGTTCAGGCTGAATTCCCGCACCCTGTGCCACAGTGCCCACCCCTCGCCAGGCACCACAGAGCCCCCCCCACCTTCGGCCAGCCGATCTGGGATTTCCGCCTGGTACTTGCAGCCAACTCGGATCTCGCCCTGGTCAGCCAGGAGGGTTTTCTGGACGGGGTCGAACACCAGCGAGTAGAAGAAGCAGTCCTGGGAGGC